CTCTCTCTCTCTCTCTCTCTCTCTCTCTCTCTCTCTCTCTCTCTCTATCTCTATCTCTGTCTCACTGTGTTTCTCAGACTGGACTTGAACTCCTGAGCTCAAAAGATCCTCTGGCCTCAGCATCCTAAGTAACTGGGACTATAGTCTCACACCACCTTGCCTGGCAAAGCAAGATTTTATTTTATTCCATAATTTTTTAAAACTGAGTTTTATAATGCATTGTGTGATGACTGGCATAGAGGGTTTTTTTAGAAAATCCCAATAATAAGCCATGTTCGGTGGCTCAGCCTGTAATCCCGCGCCTTTGGGAGGCTGAGGTGAGTGGATTGCCTGAGCCCGGGGGTTCGAGACCCGCCTGGGCAACTTGGCCAGACCTCATCTCTACAATAAATCAAAAAATTAGCTGGGCGTGGTAGCACTCGCCTGTAGTTCCAGCTACTTGGAAGGCTGAGGTGGAAGGATCGCCGGAGCCCAGCAGGTCGAGGTTGTGGTGGCCGGGAGCGGCCACTGCACTCCAGTCTGGGCGACAGACTGAGACTCCAACTAAAAAAATAAATAAATAATAAATAACTCCAATAATAAAATAAAAAATATTTAATACTTTGGTGGGTTTTTTTTATGTTGGGGTCTTACTCTGTCACCTAGGCTGGAGTGCAGTAGCAGTCATAGCTCACTGCAGCCTCCAACAAGGAATCCTCCTGCCTCAGCCTCCTAAGTAGCTGAGGTTACAGGCATGAGTCATTGTATCCAACCATATTTAATAATTTGAATGCTCTTTTTCTAATTTGGCTTTGTTTCTCACCTTGGCCATATTTAACAATCTTACCCTGGAAGTCTTTCTCTGTCATTCATTTACTGCAAAGATGGCAGTTTTCTCCTCTCCAGGCATGTTCATTTGTGGCAGTGAATGTATGAGAGACTTTAGAATTTGTGAGACTATTTCTGTATATCAGAATCTCTTCACACAGCAAACCATCACATTCAGCTACAGAGTGAGCACTGGCAATTCCCAAGTGTGTGTGTGTGTGTGTGTGTGTGTGTGTAAAATTCTGTTCTGCAGTCATTACTTTTTTGTTCATTTGTTTGTTTTTGTGATAAGGTTTCACTTTGTCGCCTAGACTGGATGGAGTACAGTGTTGTGATCATCGTTCACTGTAGTCTGGAACTCCTGAGCTCAAGGGATTCTCCTGCCTTAGCCTCCCAAGTAGCTGGAACTATAGGCATGCATCACCATGCCCAGATTTTTTATTTTTTGTAGAGACAGAGTCTTGCTATATTGTCCAGACTGGTTTCAAACTCCCGGCCTTAAGCGATCCTCTCACCTTGTCCTCCCAAAGCGCTAGGATTACAGGCATGAGCCACCATGCCTGGTCATTACTTGCTTTTTACTCTAGTTCCTTAAACTAATTTCAATTTATTCTTCCTTAGAGACATTAGAAATGTATGAATCCTTCATTTTAGTTTGGACCTCCTGAAATGTTTGTGAGAAAATAGGGAAGAATGTTTACAGCATCACAATATATTTGCTTTGGGAAGGTGTAGGCAATCTGTGGCCCTTGAACCAAGTTCAGCCAGTAGCCTGTCAGGGCACAGGGGTTTTTATATTTTTAAAGGGTTGTGGGCAGAAAACAACAACAACAACAACAAAGACTATAGGACAGAGGCTATCTGTGTTTGACAAATTTAAAAATATTTCCTGTCTGGGCCTTTACAAAGTTTGCTGATTCCTGACTCAGGCTAGCATCATGTGTTAAAATCTAAAGCCTGGCCAGGCTCGGTGACTCAACCTGTAATCCCACGCCTTTGGGAGACTGAGGTGAGTGGATTGCCTGAGCCCACGGGTTCGAGACCTGCCTGGGCAACTTGGCGAGACCTCATCCCTACAATAAATCAAAAAATAAACCAGGCGTGGTAGTGCACGCCTGTAGTTCCAGCTACTTGGAAGGCTGAGGCGGAAGGATTGCCGGAGCCCAGCAGGTCGAGGCTGCGGTGGCTGGGAGCAGCCACTGCACTCCAGTCTGGGCGACAGAGTGAGACTCCAACTCAAAAAAAAAAAAAAAAAATCTAAAGCCTTATCTTCTGAGCACCTGATATGTCTTTGAACTTTAGACAAGAAGTGTCATTGGGTATTGCCTGATGTACCAAGGCAAATTATACCATATTCATTATTGTTTACTATTTTCGTTGATTAGATATTGGTATTATTTGTGTGTTCTTCTAATGGTTCTTGATTCTGACTGCGTTTTTAAATCATCTGGGGAACTTTGAAAATTTTGTTGCCCAGATCCTTTACCAGAAATCCTGAATTAATTGATTTGAAGGGAGGCCTGGGCATAGGTTTGTCTTATATACTCTTCAGGTGATTCTAAGATGCAGCCAGATCTGAGAACCACAGGTCTACACCACTCGAAGGTATATTTGTTTGGCAATCAGTCCATATTTGTAGGCAGTTTTTATTCACATTTTTCATTAGAAATATAATAGAGATGCATTATACAAATTGTTCTTTAATTTCAAGACAGAAGGGTTGCTCAGGGAAATTTGAGACAAATTTGAAATGTGAAGAGCATATGAAACAGATAATGCAGAGCCCAGAGAAACAGAATTTGAAAGATAGGAACTGAGAAGAGCTTGTTGAAAAAAAAAAAAAAAGAAAGAAACCACTCAGAATTGCAATACACAAATCACTGAGTAGATTTCTTGCTGTCTGGGTGAGTGAATCTATTTTCAAAACAACAGTAAATCTGGGGCACCATACATTTTTTTTTCAAAGTTGTTAAGAAGAATTATATCAGTCTGCAGGTGTCACACACAGTTACTCAGAATCAGAAAGAAGGCTGATCGGGGAGTTAGAAGATCTCCATCTATCTATCTTTTTGCAACCAACCACATCCAGGCTGTGTATTTAATACTTCCTCTTGCTAATGAAGGTACTGGTTGGGGATGGGTCGGGCTTTCCCATCTCAGCATAAGACTGCAAGATTTGAATGTGCCCTGGTGTCAGCTTCACTGGCCACAGCAGGTACCCTAGGCAAGAATCTGAGCAATAATAACAGGTAATAACAACAGAGTGCATCAGACTTCGAATCCAGTTTATTTCCTTTTCTCCCCATTTACCAATGTGTTCTTTTTCTATTTTTCCAAATCAGCAAGTGCGGAGGCAAGACACATCAAAGCAGAGATGGGAAGTGAAAGAGCTCTCGTTCTGGACAGATTAGCAAGCAATGTGGCAAAACGGAAAAGCTCAATGCCTCAGAAATTCATTGGTAAGAATACAAACCTTTTTCCTGCTGTTGTTAGCAGACAGTTTGAATGAAATACCATAGGATGCTTACTCCATAGGCCCTTCCTTGCCTAACCTCTGTTAATTGGTTTTCCATTGTATACTTTTATTCTTTGTGGTTCATTTTGATAGCTCTAGCAAATAGAATAAAAGATATTAACTAAAGGATCATAATAACAACAGAAGATGGGAGTATTTGGTATCCAATTTCCTAAATGGATGTGATGTTAAAAATGCTGTTCCTTCCTCTTTACTCTGAATGACATATGTTGCATGAGAGAGTTTATGCAATTTAAACCAGTAAGATGTTCAAGATAGCATTTGTGTAATCTTTTGTAATTATATTTTACAAGTTGGTTCGTTAGCATGCTCAAACTTTTTTCACACTGGAAAACATATTGCCATATTTTCTTGAATGTGATTGAGAATTGACTTTAAGGGAAAGTGGTTGGGCAAACATAGATTTAAATAACAAGGTTTGATTTAATCATTTGTCTTACTGGAGTTAATTTTTGTGCCATTGGTTTTCACATTGTCAGAAATACAGCAGAATAAGATGACTAAGAGATAATTATGTTCAGCCAGGCTCGGTGGCTCAGCCTGTAATCCCGCACCTTGGGAGGCTGAGGTGAGTGGATTGCCTGAGCCAGGTTCAAGATCCGCCTGGGCAACTTGGCGAGACTTCATCTCTACAATAAATCAAAAATTAGCCAGGCGTGGTAGCGTGCGCCTGTAGTTCTGGCTACTTGGAAGGCTGAGGCGGAAGGATCGCCGGAGCCCAGCAGGTTGAGGCTGCGGTGGCCGGGAGTGGCCACTGCACTCCGGTCTGGGTGATAGAGTGAGACTCCAACTCAAAAAAAAAAAAGAAATAATTATGTTCATTAAAGTGTTAGGACTTCCAAATGGCAGAGATATTTTTCTGAACTCTCCCAGATATTTACATAAATGTGACCATGATATTTAAAATAGATTTGTATTTGTGAAGTAGACAGCTGAAATGGAATGTATCAGTTTTGCTATAAATTGAAAGTTGGTGATATTTAACAAAAATAGTTATTATCATACAAAAATAGACCTTCCTCAACACCAGTAATATTTTAGAAACCTGCCAGTCTCTTTTGCCAAAGCTGCTTGCTACTGCTGATTTCTTACTTTAGTCTTTTTGTGTTTATTCTTCTCAATAGCATTTACAGATATGAGTGTTTGCCTGGTTTTTAAATCTGGCTAAATTTTATTCTGGTATAGATAGTGATTTTACAAGCAAACATTCTATGTGAATTATAGAGCTATGTTGAAAGATCCTATATATTTTTTTATTACCTAACTTGGTATTTCTGCCTGTTTATTTTATTTTACTGGCTGAAAGGTTTTTCCATCCGTTTGGTCACTTTAAGAAAAAATTGTATCAGACTAAATTTGGTGTATTTCAGTTTAGGGAGATTCCCTCCTCCATACTATTTTCCCTACCATTGGTGAAAAATGTCAGAGGGGCATGTAGTGAGTCTGGGCACAGTGGGCAAATTGTGATTCTGAGACATTTTCTTAAAACATTGTCTGTGTGTCTTTTGAGCTTTACTAATGTGAAACGGTTCTGACTGGAGTACCAAGAAAGCTTGGATCGTTATTCTATGCCATGAATGTATTTTAATTGGGGAAAGTTTAGACTCTAGAAATGGCCAGCTGATATGGGGAGGGACATGGGGACGTGGGCAAGAAAAAATATAAAGTGACTTAATTTCAATCCAGTTATGGTCAATTCTTTTTGTTCTAAGAGAACAAAAATTTGAGAGAAGGTATCTAATTCTTACAGCTGTCCTAAACCTGTAGTTGAGCTAAAGCCCTACTTAATATAATAAAAGTTGCTCTGGCATTTTCTGGGTTTAGAAACGCAGCATGTTTCAAATGTCCACATGCATGCCATTTTGCCTGTTACCTCGGGGATCATTTCATTTGCTACCATTGCAGCCAGAGGATTGATTTATTTATTCACTTTTGCATGAAGGGGTGTCCCACCCGGCATGGCATTGGGGGTGCAGTGGGGTGGGTGGCTGCAGAGCGACCAGAGGATTTTTAACTTCACTACTTCCAGATGCATGAGAGATCTGATCTTGTAGGTGCTGCTTCCTCTCATCTTCTGAACCATCACATTCTCTCTGTGCTGGAATCAGAAACTGAGTTAGCTCTTGATGGAGCTGAGGTAGCAACTTCAGGGCTTCAAAGCCCAGAATAACTGGGGGAAATTTTGTTTGTAAATTGTGGTACAGCGCAACAAGAAGAGCACTGAATTTGAAGCCAAAAGACCTGGGCTCTCATCCTAGCTTTGTCATTTCTAACTATGTGTGTTTAGACAAATCACGTAACCTGGCCAGGCCTCTCTGTACTCATCTGTGAAATGATGAGACTGACTGGATGAAGTGACCAGGAACATCCCTCCCGTCTGCAAGTCTATGAAATAAATTAGAAATCCAAGACAGCAACTATGGATACTACTTTGTGTTTCTAAAGCCCATGTATGTAACTTCAGATGACTTTTTTCTCAGGGCGATACAGATATGGAGTTTATGTTATAAACCATATCATAGGTTGTGGGTTTTTTTTAAGGAAGATGGTGTTAAATATAAGAATCTAAACAACAGTTGCATTAGCTCAAGATTTATGTTCTACTTAGGGCAGTACTACTTTTCATTTGCTCTTGTGTCCAATCAATCCCATACAGATGATTAAGAGCGCCTGTCATATACGTGGTGTTCTTGTTCGCGGGCTTACTATTCTAATCTTGCATTAACTGATATCCTAAACTTTTGTTTGAGAGATTAAAAAAAAAGAAACCCTTTAAATCATTTAACTGAATCAGGCTTTGTGATAGAATATAGTAATGTCAAAGGAGGAAGAAAAGGAACATCTGTGACATTGTGCAGTATGTAGGATAAAGTGATATAAACCATGCAGGGATAATGTTCCACCTCCACCTTCCCTCTCCTTTTCTCTCCTGTCCTCCTCTCCTGTCTTCTCTTCTCTCCTCTGTCCTATATTTCCTCTCCAAGCCACTGTTTTCTGAAAAGATTCAGCTGCCAGGGCAATGGCAATGGGTAAGGTGTGAAAGAAGAATGAATCACTCTCTTTAATCCTTGCTGACAGTTGCACAGCTCTCAGAGCAGCCTTGGTTTCCCTGACCTCTTGAACCATGAGGGTAAAGGTGAAATTATACAATCAGGTCAGTGCATAACTTTCCTAACAGGCTAACGGTAATTACCAGTAGGTAGCTTGCTTATTTATTTATTTATTTATTTATGAGGTGGGGTCTCACTTTGTTGCCCAGGCTGGAGTTCAGTGGCAGCCCTGACCTCTTGGGCTCAGACTGTCCTTCTACCTCAACCTCCTGAGAAGCTGGGATTACAGGCACATGCCATCATGTCTGGCTAATTTTTTTATTTTTTGTAGAGACAAAGTTTTACTATGTTGTCCAAACTACGTAGGTAACATTATTCATCCATTAAAGATAAACAGAGCCGGGCACGGTGGTTCACGCCTGTAATCCCAGCACTTTGGAGGCCAAGGTGAGAGGACTGCCTGAGTCCACCAGTTCAAGACCAGCCCGGGCAACTTGGCAAGCCCTCTTCTCTACAGTAAATTAAGAAAAATTAGCCAGACATAATGGCACATGCTTGTGGTTTCAGCTACTTGGAAGGCTGAGCCAGAAGGATCATCTGAGCCCAGCAGGTGGAGGCTGTGGTGACCGTGAGCGTGCCTCTGAAATCCAGCCTGGGCAACAGAGTGAGACTCTGACTCAAAAAAAAAAAAAAGATGAACTGGAGAAGAGGGACAGATTGGATTAAGTCTAAATGCATTTTGAAACACAAAAACATGCCTCTGTTGAATAGTAAGAGTAAAATTAAATTGCTCCAGTAGAAGAAAAATGTTTTTTTCAAATTCTTCAAGAAATTTTGTATGAATTTGTGTCAAATGAGAAATAGATTGACACACATCCATCAAAAATCAGCATTTTTACATTGCCAAAATATTCTGTTTAGTTGTTCTTTTCAAAGGACAAGAAGACCTTATTTTGAGCATTCTACCCATTTAGGGGTTTTCTTTTCTCTAAATCTTGTTCTCCTGTTATAAACTTGTTTGACTACACTTCAAACTAGGCCATCCTCAAATACTTGGCTTAAAATGGATTTCTCTTTTGGATGGAGAAGAAAAATGACTATGTTTCTGCATATTTTTTCCTGATTTTTATTCTTTCCCAAAAAACAGATGTTATTCAGACCAAAGTAGTTACCATAGCATCTCCTTATTTTTTTAATTTTATGTAATACTTTATAAAAAGAAGTTTTCATGTTGAAAAGAGCATGAAAAAAGATCTCACTTGTGATAAACACGCTAGTGAGGTTTTGACACTTAACTAACCATCAGTTCTCACTGTGAAGTAACTAATGAGAAATTGTCTGCTTTGGTTAACAGAATGACAGGAAGCAGTTTTAATACCTGTTTCTAAGAGCAAAAAATACCTTCTCCCACCCCTTCCTAAAGGCCTGACATTGATAATCCTATGAGCATTACAATGTCACAGCATCTGAAGGGTATTAGGAACCACTAGTACAGCTCTTTTTTTTTTGAGTTGGAGTCTCACTCTGTCACCCAGGTTGAAGTACAGTGGCATACCTCACAGCCATTGCAGCCTTGACCTGCTGGGCTCACGTGATCCTTCTGCCGCAGCCTTCCAAGTAGCTGGAACTACAGGCACGCACCTTCATGCCTGGCTAATTTTTTGATATCTTGTAGAGATGAGGTCTCGCTAAGTTGTCCAGGCTGGTCTCGAACCCGTGGGCTCGGGCAATCCTCTCACCTCGGCCTCCCAAAGTGCTGGGATTATAGGTGTGAGCCACCACACCTGGCCTACCAGTGTACGTTTTACCACGGAAGGAAGGAGGATCCAAGAGGCAGAGCAACATCGCTCATAGGTGACAAAGCAGGGCCAGACCTTGGCCTATAAGGTGCTGCAGTCCGGGATCTTCTTTCCATGGGAGTCA